CCCAAAAAAATAATGGGGCCCAGTGATGCAGGCCTATAATCAACCAACTCAGGAAAACTAGGACAGGAAAGTAACAGTTCAAGGCCAGCCTGCAATATGGAGTGAGTTCAAGGCCAATCTGGACAACTTATTGAGATACTAAATCAAAATAGAAAGTAAAAATAAGGCTGGGACATCTCAATGGTAGAGTATTTTCCTATCACATCTGAAGCCACAGGTTCATAGCACCATAAAACAATAAACACAAAAAAAAAAAACAACATTAAAGGCAAACTAAAAAAATTCCTATTCAGTTAGTTCTATGCTACTTAAACTATTAATCTCAGAAGTAAATGCTATAAAATAACAATTCAAAGAAGGAAGAAAAAGCAAAAAAAAAAAAGAAAGAAGTATCTTGAAGGATAACCTGATCACAAATACATTGAGTCACAGATGACTATTATCTTAATGGCCCAGTGATTCTAAATTAATAGCCTCCAAATTTAAAAAAGACAAAATCCACACACTAATAGAAACAGGGTATCTACTACTCTAGTCTTACTTTCTATGGTATGTTCAAGTAGACTATTACAATAAGCCTCCATTATACTAGAAATATTAACATAATTGTGAAAAACAGTCATGGAGATATGGTAGCAAGTTGACTACCATTGGGGCAGGAGCTTCAAGCAACAGACAAAACATACAATTTTATTACCACAATGCTAAATCACAACAAATTTTTAAAAAATCTAGCCAAGTATTAAAAGGAATTAAAATTGGTCAATAATTGGTTTTTAAAAATTAATAAAGTTGGGCTGGAGAGATGGCTCAGATGTTAAGACCACTGGCTACTCTTCCAGAAGTTCTGAGTTCAATTCCCAGCAACATGGTGGCTCACAACCATCTATGAGGAGATCTGGGGCCCTCTTCTAGAGGGCAGGCATACATGCAGACAGAACACTGCATTCATTATAAATAAATACATCTTTAAAAAATTTTTTTTAAATTTAAAAGTCAACTCCTCTAGAAAGCTTTTCTAATTTATTTTTTCTAGGTTTTGTTGAGTCCTTTGTACAGTCACAAACAGATATGGGGCCTATGATGTGCCAGGGATTCAATATAGTTACAAATTTAAGAGATGACAGTCCTCTTACTAGATACATGAAACAGTTGCAACATCAAGAGGCCAAGCAAATGAGAGGCATGGAGGTCATCACCAGAACCAAGGAAATTCCTCTGTTCACAAAGCTGCACTCAGCACCAACCCACATGCACTCTGCTGTCATCAATACTAACTACATCCTATGACCATAACTCAGACTCTGCCAGCTATGGAATCCTCAACTTTCCAGTAGCAACTGTGATATATCCAGACTCAATACCATTAATCTTACCCAGGTATGAACCCTATGAGCTACAATCAGCCTTCCAAGGTATGCTCACAGATATAATAGTGGCATAAATATCAGAATAACAATTAGCTTTCTGGTTGGATTTAAGGTCTACCCCACAAGATGAAACCCATACTTGGCACCAAGCCAAGAATCTCTGGCTAGACAGAACATGGGACTTACAGGAGAACATACTACTATATTCTACTAAATGGACATAGCATCAAACCAACTCCTAATGGCCTATCATTATACCCATAGATTATGGCATTTTTTAATCCTGCTGACAGCAGATGATAATCAACATAAAGACTCACAACTAGCCGAGGTGCAGAGAAGACTGCAGAAGGCTCAAGCCTAAACTGAACATATGTACTGTACTCCCTCCTCCAAAGAGAATGGAAGAGAGCACTGTGGAAGAGAGAGCAAATCCCACTAGCTAAAGAGCTATTAACAACTGTGAGCTGCTGGGGAGAGAAAGGATCAGCTTCCTCAACAGTGTAGCCCCTGATAAGTTGATCATGCTCCAGTGGAAAGCCACACATCTAAGAATATTCAGTCAACACAAATTGGCCTTCATGGGAAAAGAAAACACAAAAAAGGACACAAAATTGGTTGGGAAGGGAGGAGCAGGTGGATCTTGGAAGAGCTGAACAAGGATAAATATAATCGAAACACTTGTATGCAATTCTCAATCAAAGAAAATAAACAAAAGATGCTTCGCATCCAGCATCTCTCACCATGGCCATCCCAGTCTTGGACCAGAACACACAGGAGGAGGTGAGTGCCCAGCCATTTCCTGCCCAGCATTCACTGTTTGAGTCCCCAGTCCCGTCCCACCACGGAACCAGCCATCCAGCATCTGCCTCCATCATCATCCCAGTCTTGGACCAGCACACACAGGAAGAGAGGGCCATATAACATCTGCTGCTATTGGAGTCTTAGACCCACATGTACCTACCTGGAGAGAGCCTAGGACCTATAACCACTAGAAGAGGGAGAGACCCTACCTGCACCCACTGGAAGAAGTGATGGAAAGACAACATTATAAGAACACAGTCAACAACAGAAAGATAAACATGACACCCCATGTACGTAGGCTGAGGAAGTATCTCTCCATGGAGGAATAGGCTCCCAAAGTTCATTCGTGTACTAGAAATAAACACTGACTCCACTGCAAGAGGCCCCATAGACTGCCTAGGCCTCCTAACTGTCACCCAAGTTCAGGAGGCATGGTTCAGTTCTATGCTGGTTTCCCAGCTGTCTGGCTGGGGTCCATGAGCTACCCATTGCTCAGGTCAGCTGTTTCTGTGGGTTTCCCCAGCATGGTCTTCACCCCTTTGCTATCTCTACTACTGGATACCAGGAGTTCGGCCAAAAGCCAGAAGATCCTAAACAGATGTTCTACAAACACTAAGAGACCATGGATGCCAGCCCAGACTACTATACCCAAAAAGCTTTCAATCACTTTAGATGGAGAAAACAAGATATTCCATGACAAAGCCAGATTTAAACAATACATGTCTACAAATCCAGCCCTACAGAAAGTACTGGAAGGAAAACTCCAACCCCACCCCAAATGGTATGACAGACTTTGATGATCCCCCATGGAAGGTCTCACTCTCCCTGGGAAGTGGATAGGGAGTGAGATGGGGGTGAGGTGATTGGTGGGAGTCATGGGAGGATGGGAGGGTAGGAGGGAGAGGGAACTGGTATTAATATGCAAAATAAGATGGTTCCTAATCTAAATTTAAAAAATATCAAATGGAAAACAAAACAAAAAGCTATTTAAAAGTGATAAAAAATATGCTTCACTTTATTATTAACAGAAGGAAAATTTAAAACAATGGTTTCACTCTTCACAGAAGATTCTATAAAAACCAAGAGTTATAATGTTAAGTATTAGTAAGACAAAAGAATAACAAACTCAATACAGAGCAGATGGAAATGTAAGCTGGTACATTTTCTGAAAGATCAGTTGGCAATAACTATTAAAAATGTTTTTAAAAGAAGTGTATTCCTTTGGTTCACCAATTAGATACCCAAAACCATATATAAAATTATTCAGGGAAGTAAAAATAAACTACAAATACCTCATGCCCCCACCCATAAAGCATGAGGTATTTGTAGTTTATTTTACAGTGGTTAATACTCTACTTAATACAGTAGAATACTATATGACTAAAAGAATATAAGATCTACAGAGAAATTAAAGCATACATATTATATGCTGTTGAGAATAAAGCTGTAGAGGCTGCCGAGATGGATGAGGTTAAAAGCAGTTACTGTGGGCTGGAGAGATGACTCAGAGTTTAAGAGTACTGACTGCTCTTTCAAAGGTCTTGAGTTCAATTCCCAGCAACCACATGGTGACTCACAACCATCTATAATTCAATCTGGTGCCCTCTTCTGGTATGTAGGCAGAACATTGTATATGTAATAAATAAATAAATTTTTTTTAAAAAAAGAGCAGTTGCTGCTCTTCTAGAGGACCCAGGTTCAGTTCTGAGAAATGACACTGGACATTTCTATCAGCCTGTAACTCTAGCCCTAGGGGCTCCAATGCCCAATTCTGGCTTCTCATGGCACCCAGACATGTACAACTCCTCTCACATATACACATAATTACAATTTTTTATTTTTAAAAGAATAAAGTTATAGAATCCTATATGATATCAACTTTATAAGTATAAATCAAAATCATATACCTACTTATATATATCTATATTACTAGAAATGTCTGAGAGATATTAGTGAATATTATTTGAAAAATCTGATATTAAATTTTCAAAGCACAACTGTACTTCATTTTGCTTTTGACTCCTTGTTGTTTAAGTAAATACAAAAACAAATGGTTCAAAGCAGATTTTGAAGCAACCTTCCTGGATTTGCAAATCAGATGCTTACTTGGAATGCCACCTGTCTTCAGCATTCCCATTTGCAAAGCAAAGACCAATCCAAATACCAAGGATCCTCATATGTTAACAATAACAACAGCTACTATAATAGGGCTCTAGTGACAACCAGTTAACAAATGGAATCCCTGAGAACGACACCTGCCACAGAGTAATAAGCAGCATATGAAACATGTTCAGTGATATCACTTAGGTAGACATCTCCCAGAAACACATCTGAATCCTTAGGCAACCAACAAAATGACCAAGCAGACAACTGATTCACGAAGACAATGGCTTTGAGGAAACACTCAACAATGCTTTATGTGATACAACAAAGCTACTTCCTTGTCCTCAAGCTTCCTCATCTTTAAGTCCATCTTTATAACTGACAAAATTCCAGTATCCTGACAGCATAACTGTAATGTTATATATTGAATGAAGTCTTTACAGTTGACTCAGAAGCATGCTGCTAGTCAGGAGACCCAAGGTCTGAAACATAACTCCAGACTAAAATACAGGCTTTGAAACAAAAACTCCTTTAATAGTCCTGCAGCAGGCCCTGAAACAAAAAGAGACTTTCACCATCTGAATATAGCCAAAGTACACTTCTACAAGTCAAACATTGCATTCAGTTACACAGCTTACTTCTCACCTTTCAAACATGCATCACAGCAAACTAATGCTATACCCATACACACAACAACAATTATCTCCCTCTCTAAGTACTTACACGGAATGCTGCAAGAATGATTCTTGTTACTTTCTCTTTGACAGATTCTTGAAGGATGTCTGAGAGAACAGGAATGATATTGTAGCGGCGAAGGTGTTCACACATTTGAGGACTGAATGCCAGGAGCCATATTGAAAAAATCATTTGATATTGCAGTTGAAAGCCACACTTGTTACTCAAAACGCCCATTATACTGAAAAAGAACAGAGGGAGGGGACATTTTATATGACAGTACAACAAAAAGCAAAATGCGTGTACACTGAAAGAGCAAGTCTCTGAACTGTCTTCAACTTCCTTTCTAGCAGCTATAGCACTCACATAGCACTCAACTAACTCATAGCTAGACTACAACTCACTAGGACCATCATCCAGGAAGCAGGAGTACTGCTGCAGGGAAACAATGAGAAAGGGAACCAAGATTTGAAGAGAGAATGCTACAAGGAAGTATCAGACAATTAAAATCAACAGGGAGTGGTGACAAAAAGAATGTACATCTTTCAAGTAATTTTTATATCAAGGTTTTGAGGTTAGACAACTAAGAGAAGAATTTTAAAATAGGTAAGAAACCCAGAAAAAAATGAGGCAATGAGTTTGGGGAAAGAAATGCAACCTGTCACAGAATTTGGGAACCAGAAAATGTCATGAGATTCTAGAAAACTAGGAAACTGAGAACATTCCTTTGAAGTGAAAGGTGTTTTCTTGTTGTCCTGAAAGAGATAATATTAAAAAAAAATCTAAGGCTAAATCTCTGAGGAGTATCTACATTCAGCAAAGGACAGAAATTGTCAAATATGGCAAACGAAATGACCAGCTGAACTGGCACAAAACCTGCAGAATGTTCAACAAAGTGTCTCCCAATATAAGCTATTGCTTTTAACAAATACATCAATATTGACTCATCAATTTGAAAAAGCATTATCATACTAACCCAAGATGTTAAAAACAAATGGTAAGGGGAAGCCATCTTTCTGTTAAAGTTGCTCTAATAAAATTCTCAAGTCTTTAAAATCTAACAACTATTAACTTAGTAGGAGATGCATATCTGTATCAATTCTACATTTCTGTGATTTGTATATACTTCTGTCTTTATCGGACTATTCCTAATTTTCTCATGCATTATTTCTTCTGCCTGGAGGCGTTCTTTTCAGGTTAGGCTGTTATATAAAAATTGCTATTATTAAATACTATCAGTATCTCAACTGATATAAAATTATGTGTTTTTACAGTATCAACATCCTAATGCTTGATTCCTTTGCTCTCTTCCAGCAACTAAGTCAAGCCTTCTATACTCTGCCCTAGACACCAGCTGGGTTAGATACTAGTCTCAGTCTGGGGAGCTAGAGGTTGACTAGAAAGGCAGACAAAAGGTACCTGCTATTAGCATCACCTAGGCAAATACTTCCTCACCGGGTAGCACATCTTTCCAATGGCAGTGGCCAATTCTGTTACAGTTGTTCCAGGTCTAACAGAATAACCCTCACTGCACAACCTCAGAGAGACCACCACCAGGCATTGGTGCTCCCACCCAAGAAGCCTCGACCCTAAATAAGGATCTTCTTCAGAAATCACTGATACCAACGTGAGAGGACAGTCTCCTCCTCAAAGGTCTAAATTTCAAATTTCAGCTTTACTCGGTCTTCCAAGCATGTTAATTTCTGTGATCCTAACCCAAGACCTAGAGGTAGTGATCATCCTTTGCTTTACTTTCGGGGGGGGGAGAGAATTAGCAAATATATATCTAGTTAACTCTTCATATCGAATTAGCTTCTATTTTTTTTTAATTGTCACCAAAGGACTTGTGGGGAGCACAGAAAAAGGACACAGTTGTTGAAACCAAAGAGTATCAAAGTTTCCAAGGAGGTAGGCATCAACAATGATGGCTCCTTCTGAGGAACTGGAAAGAGCTTAAAATTGATAGATTAAAAAAAAATCAGTGCTAGCCCATCAGATAGCCAGTATAGTCAATATAATACACAGCACAATGAAAAGGATAGTTCTCCTATATGAATATTAGGAAAATACTGTATCTTTTATATAATAGGTTTCTAACCAAACAGCTCTTCAAATAGGCAACACTTGAAATTCTTTCTCCTCACATCCTTCCTGGTTATAATTTGAAAACCATCAAGAAATAAATAGAAACTTTCATTGTAAAAGAAAAAATTAAAAAGTATATGTCCTTTCTGAGAAAAGGAAAGCTACCAGATACTTAACATTGTCAACTGTTCTTTAAAGTTGCCTAACACTAATAATGACAATAGCAAGATCTGATCTACCTCTATATGCCAAGAGGATCCAAAGCAACAAGTTTTAGCATTTTATTTTTTGGAAATAAAAACTATATACCAACTGCAAACAGGCTGTTATTTGGTAACTTTAATTCACTCTTACAGATACCCTGATTTGAGATAAAGGGTATCTGCTTTCAGCTCAGTAAAATAAAATTCACTGTATCTTTCAATAACCATCTGGGCTAGCTAGATCTTTTATAAACCTATAACATACTATGGTACTATAGGAATTTTGTGCTATTACACCTTAATAAATATTACCTCACTAGTTATATTACTATTTTATTAATTAGAACTAATTTGCAGTTATAATAAAAACTACAGTCATACAAAATTCCTTAGGAAGATATAATGAAATCATTATTCTTTCTAATTACACTGCCCCAAATACTGCAGCATCTTTTAGGAAAGTCAAAGATGGAATGACATCTATCTTTGGGCTTCTGCTAAGAAAAGAGTGTCAGACCCATGAAACTGCTAGTCTTAAATAAAGCTCACAGTACCTATCCAGTTTGCACAAACCATATTGTTTACGATAGTTAGCTACAGCTATGGTTTGAAAGTCTGTGTCCCTCCAAATCTGTAGGTTAAAATCATAAGCCCCAAATTGACAGTGTAGTGTGATGGGGAAGTCCTGTGTATATGTAAATAAAGCACTGTTGGCCAATAGGTAAACAAGATAGGTGGGACTAGGAGTCTAGGAGGATTCTGGGAAATGTAGTGAACTGAGCTGTTGCCATATGATTCCCAGGAAGAGGGGACGCAAGTCAGCCATGTCTTTGTGCTTCATGATCCAGCTGTGTATCTTTAGCAATCCCTATAATAAATCTTAGTTATGAGTACCAATACCATGCTAATGAATCCTCCAACACATTGTCAACATACCTGAGAACTCAGACTCTCTTATTTTCCATCCACAATAGCAACTAACAGGAGAAGGCATTTTAATCAGTGAAAGCAAAGAGAATAATAATTCTATCTTATTCTCTATCAATGATGGAACTGACTGTATAAGCACACACTTAAAACTATGAGAATGTAGAAGTTTTCATCATAAATGAATTTTTCCAAACTCAAGAACATAAAAGAATTTAAATAGAGCTACCCTGTAATAGGGTACACACAGAAGACTAACAACTAAAACCCAGTTCAGGAATGGGTTCCTTTGTTTGAGTTGTTACCCAGTGAGGTCCCATGGGCCCTCAACATTACAGGATATTGTCAATACTCTTGGTAACCCTCCAAAACTTGACGGTAAGAGCGTATTACTGAAGACACCACATACCTGAATCATACAACATAGTAACATCAAGCCAGTACAAACCTGGAAGCTTCATCCATATTGGCTAGTTTTCATAGTGCTGAAGGTACTATGCAGACTACCAGAGAATCATCAACCATACTGAGTTGTGAACGCTGGAAGCCACAACAATGACTGGCCTTGCAAGATATGTCCACTGATGGCATGAATGTTGTGGGAGTAAACAATCACTTTCTGATTGGACTTCCCTAAAATCCCACTCCACAAAATCAAATCTATACCTAGCACCAACATGAGACTAGACAGGACATAGGTCCTAAAGAAAAAAAACTACTACTATTATTCTGCAAAGTGGACATATTATCATTATTATTAAGCTACCCCTAATGATTTGTTATATCCACAGATAATACATCTCTCAACCCTCATCCAAGAAGCTTCTATTTGCAATATATAGTAATTAACATACAGACCCACAATTGGTCAAAGTGAAAGTAGTAAAAGAACACAGAATTCTCAGCCCCAAAAAGATCAATCTCTCTCTCTCTCTCTCTCTCTCTCTCTCTCTCTCTCTCTCTCTCTCTCTCTCTCTCTCTGTCTCTCTGTCTCTCTCTCTCTCCCCCTCCCTCTCTCCCCCTCCCTCTCTCTCACACACACACACAAATTAAACAAAAAACTGATCTAAGGAAAAAAGGAAACACAGTATCTTCGCCCAGTCAACAGTTGACATGAAAGACTTCTCAGTAATATTATTCAGCAAGAACCTAGGGTCAGCAAGATGGAGCTCAGCAGGTAAAACACTGGTTCCCAAGCCTGACCTTCTGAGTTCAATCCCCAGAAAGAAAGAACTAACTCCCATAGGTTATCTTCTGACCTCTGTACATGTTCTATGATGCACATGAACACACACAATAACTAAGTTTAAATGTGATAAAATTGTAAATAATATTGTATTAATTCTTTGAGAAACTCATACAATGGGACTTTGATCATATCCATAGTCCCAACTCCTCCCAGATCCACTCTCAGCTCCCTACCCACCAAACTTTGAGTTTCCTTTAAAAAAAAAAAAAAAACAAAACACCAAGTCCAATTTGCTTTGCCCAACTATTCTTGGGAGTAGGGCCTGCCCTGGAGTGTGGTCAATCTACCTGGGGTCACACCACTGAAGAAAGCTGACTCTATCTCACCCACTAGTTATCAAATGCCAATAGTGCCTTAGTTAGTGATGAGACTTCACACCCATCTCCCCACTCCACGCTGAAATTGTATCTGTCTTGAGCTGATACAGATTTCTGTGCATGTTGTCACAATTACTGTGAGTTAGTAGTATAACTACCCTACTGTGTCTAGCAAACACTGTTTCCTTGAAGTTATTCATCACCTCTGGTCTCAGAAGACAAAGGGCTAAATAAAAATAGTAAGAAAAAGATTGAAACAGGGTCTTACTATATCTGTGGCTGGCCCTGAATTCACAGAAATCTGCCTACCTCTTCCCATTAAGTACTGAGATCAATAAATGCCACCATGCCAGCTCAACAGATTAAAATTTTGTGAACTAATATAGGAATAACTATTCTAACTTATTCAGTCAATCAATGAAGATTAAATAATGTGTGAAAGCAATGCTCTACAAAACTGCATGTACCTGTTTGCTGTGAGGATTTAGAATAATGGTCTGATAACATATCATTCAATCAAGCTCACTTTAAATCATCCCTTACCAAACTCTATTGTTGATTTTGAGCATCCCATATAAACTTTACAAGAGAAGCAATGCTCTTGTCATAGCTGAAGAGTAACTGCCTTAAATATACTTAGACGCTCATTAAGTATGAAATTGGCTTTCTAATGGTGACAAAGAAATATCATTCCTTGATTTTATTTTCCTTATTGATTTCTGCCTGCATCTGCCACAAAATACTTTCATAAATATCTTATACTCTCAGTGCCAGGGTTTGTTTTGTCCAGCATTAGGGTTTTGGCTTTCATTTTACATACTGGCCACAGTTTCCCCTTCCTGCTCTCCTCCCAGCCCCTCCCCTTAACCCCTTTGTTTCCACTCCCCAATTCACTCCTCCTCCATTTCTGTTCAGGAACAGGCAGGTCTCCCATGAATATCAGCAAACCATGGCATATCAAGTTGCAGTCTTGAACTTGTCTTGTATTAAGGCTGGGCAATGCAGCCCAGTGTGAGGAGTAGGGTTCCAAAAGGCAGCAAAAGAATAAGAGATGACCCTGTTCCCACTCTTAGGAATCCTACAAGAAGACCAGCAGTAGGTTCTTAAGAGGCCTTAACCTCTTACAAAACATAGGCCAAGCCAGAGAAGAGGACAGATGTTCAGTTCAATAGATACTGATTTTTAAGAAGGTTAATATATCCATTGTTAAGCAAGCATGAAAATAATAAAATGTTTCTTTTAAATGATTAAATGTATTAATTTACTTTAAAATGTCAAGGAGAAATGTTTTTGAATGTCATTCTATAATAAAAGTAAAGGACATTCACTCACCAGTTCACCCCATCTGCTTCCACCCAGGCAAAACGGTACTCATTGACCCGGAGCATCAGCTGCAGACAGCCAGCAACACACTGCACATACTGAGAACTCTACACAGGAAAAGTGTACAGTGTGAGGCTAAAAAGCATTCTAGTCATGAGACCAAGCACATACATTTCTATAAGGAAAGTCTTCGTTTTTACTACAATTTGTTAGTTTTAGAGCACCCAAAGTCTCCTAATATCCTTTGAAAAGTCTATCCTCATGTCTGTTTTTAACTTTGCCTCTGAGAAATTAAGGTGATTACTATCTCCAAAATTAAATATACACAATTCAAGATGACATAACACATTAACATAATACATTAACAAATTAATTAACAAATCTTTGATGCAGTTTAATAAATAAATAGTTCACCTTGCCATTTATCCTAGAGAGAGGCTCTACAAACATAATTGCAATATGAAAAAAACTAAAACAAAGAGATAGGCCTATACTGGAGTGATTTTAATCACATTATAACCCTTTACTGCAGTCCTTGGTTTCTTCACTCCTGGTGAGGACAAAACTATCAAAGAGAACACCTGCAGGCGCACTGTGGCGGCTGAAGGCAGTAATCCATTCAGCACACAACTACAACTATGCAGAAACTCTGCCTCTGGCTGGCTTATAAAATATCTAATTAAAGCTGGGGAAGGTGGTGCATGCCTTTAATCTCAGCACTCAGGAATCAGAGGCTAGCCTGGTTTACAGAGCAAAATCCAGGACACCCAGGGCTACACAGAAAAACCCTATCTCGAAAAACAATCTAATTAACATTTGGTAAAGACAACCCAGATTTTTAAAACTTAGTTGAATAGCTGCATGTCATAAAAATCGTACTTAAATCTGTAACTTGAAGTAAACGAAAATCCTATCTATCTCTTAGAAGTTATAAACCCTTCCACTTTACCACAGCTGGTAAAAACTTCAGCTGCAAGCTCTTGACTAAATATTTACCATGAGAGATATGTGTTTAAAAGGTGAAGAAACAAAAGGAAAATTTGAGTTCTATCCTTCATAATGAACAAATAAAAAATGTAAAAGGAATCATAGATGTCATAAAAATTCATAAAACCTAAAATTTGATACTATTAAGGTTAGTGTTTTAATTTAGATAAATATGAGCTGGAACACTCCAAAAAAATTTACAGCACTCAAATACAAAAACACATGAAGTGAGTATGTAAGGTACAAACAGACAAATGCTATAAAGAAAAGGGACCTTATTTCTACCTAGATAGTAGTGACCATACAATGTGCACTACTATTTAACATCTTACATTAGCAAAAGCTAAACATTATAGCTTATGCCATTAAGCCCGGAACCTGGAAGGCTGAAGCAAGGATTGCCACAAGTTTAAGATCAGGTCAACCTGGGCTATAGAGTGACTCCTTGTCACAAAAACCAAACACAAGCAAAATTATGTTAGCAGAAGTTAATAACAAAATCATGAATTTCCATCTCGAACTTTTCTGCAATGGAAAAAACATGAATTTTTCCAATTAATTCAGAAATTAGAAGCTTCTACTAAAAAATACAAATCCCATCTTTCTTGTTTGGAGAAAACCTGGGAGACATTTCTATATACAAATGAGTAAAAGGGCAACAAAGGCATCTTTACTCTTCTACTGTCACATTTTGTCTCAATACAAAAATGTCTTGGTTCACCTCGGTCTCTTTTGTGTTCATTCATTATGCTATGCTAAAATAGCACACACAGCACAATATAGGCATGGGCTCAGCACAGTCCCTTACAACTTCAGTGTAAACAGCATGAGCATAGCTAAGGCGCTGGTCCTACAGCTCACAGGGATCTTTCCTACTGAGTGCTATACACATGGTTCATTCCATGCCAGTGATGACAGAGAGTACAGCAAGTGGATAAACTCTACTTTGTGTTTTGTTTTGAGACAGTGTCTCTCTGTGTAGCTCTTGCTATCCTTGGACTTGCTATGTAGACTAGTCTGGCCTCAACCCACCTGCCTCTGCTTTCTAAACGCTGAGATTAAAGGTATGTACCACTACACTCAGCTGAGCTCTTACCTTCAATTAAAATGGACAGCATCTGTTTATTTTCCCTTAAATTGCTGATTAGTGTCCTATATAAATAATTTAATGATTGTTTAAAAGAAGATAATTAGCCTTAGTTAAATCCATCCAACAATTCTTACCTTTAATCCTACAAAAGACAATTCAATAAATACTACTAAAGAAAAATCACACAACCATGAAAAATCATAAGCAATCTAATCTGTTCTCTCCGTCATTCTCCACAGGAGCTCTCCTCCTGTCCTACTCTTCCTCTCAACAGGTCAAAGAAAAATAGAAACTACTCCTTAGAGACACATTCCACTACAAATACTTCACCCATAAGCTGACCCACATTTGTAGCCATTCTTCCCTGTCCTTTACCTACACACACACCTTTTTGTCCCATTATGCTCCACCACTCAGAATCCTTTCCTACAAGCTTACCCTCATCTTTCTCATACTTTTGTAGGGCAGCTTAAGTAAACTAAACTTCTGCAAGTGATTGTTTATTGCCCTGGAAAAGGACCTATTCCTGTCCCTTATAGCAGGGCTACTGAAATAATTAACTGTAAAATTCCTGTGTAATGCTGACCTAATCAAATAAAATATAATCTTCTGAAGCCAAAACCACACCATCTTGCTGAGAACTTTCAGAATTGATAGGGGGATGTCCTTTTCTATGTTTCTCTTATTGGTTGATGAATAAAACACTGATGGGCCAATGAGGCAGTAAGATAGGCGGGACAAGGAGATGAGGAGAATTCTGGGACAGGTAGGGAGGAGCCTGCCAGAGTCACGATGCTGCCAGAGGAGTAACACCATGCCAGTTATTACCAGGTAAGCCACAGCCTCATGGCAATACACAGATTGACAGAAATGGGTTAATAATTAAGACGGAGCTAGCCAACAAGAAGCCCAAGCTATTGGCTAACAGTTTCATACTAATATAGCACCATGTGTTTATTTGGTGCTCAAGGGCCATGGAACCTGGGAGAACAAAGAACTTTTCATAACACAGAATCATCCTACAGGGGTACTCAATAAATACCTCTTAAATAAACAAACATAAGGTGATGCAAATCTCTTGCACTAATTCCAAATAAATGGTGTCATAACAGAGATGTTTAAATAGTCTAAAATTTTAATAAGACAACTTTTCTAAGTGAATATTATTTGGAGCTAGAGAATCAGAATTTCAAGGATATAGAATAACTTCTCAAGTCCACACAAGTAGATGGTAAAGACCTAAGAAAGCCTGTTATAGCTCCTTTCATTGCAGCTTCTAATCTTTGAAGGGAAGACTTCTAATGCTCACTATTGAGCCATTTCCAATTACTTCCACTGTGCTGCTGATGCGACCTCACAATTCTGTGACATCAAGATTGTCATGCTGTAAATACATTTCCTACATGTAGACACAGAATTTATAGAAAAAGACATATTTCTAAGAAACAAGTTTCAAGTTCTCAAAATTAAGGAATCTTCAATAAACCCTTAGGGTGCAGTAGTGGCAGGCATACTTTGTCAGTAATCAACAGCTCTCTAATTGTCTTAAGACCCACTCAACAAGAAGGGAGTGAGTGAAGTCATGGGTCTTGGAAGTAAACATACAATTGTCACTTTACTAAACCAGCATAACTCTTAGCCACACTCTAAACATTTGTTGCCACGCCCACAGATAAATAGTAGTCCTCACCCCTCACCATGGAAACTTCTCTTTGCAACACATGAAGACCATTACAGAAAAACCACAGTCAACCAAAGTTGTAGAGCCCATTCCCAACAGATACATCTACAAAATACTCCTGCACCTAAGGCTCAGGGAACATTGCCCAAGAGGGTATGGAAAAGATTTTATGAACAAGAGGAACGGAAAGTTTGTTGTAAGACAGGGACCCCCAGAAATGTCACAAGCTACATCCATGAAGTCTCACCAACATAGCTGCTCAAACATGAGCTGAACAAGAACAGCAAGAGACATCACAAAGAACAAGGGAGAATGACCATGAGAACTCAGTCCTACACAAATAACTTCAGGCAAATAAGGAATGCTGAGAAAGTCTTCCCCAAGGAACAGCATACCAAATGGCTACCCAATACAAAATGGCCAACCCTGAAAACATACAAGTAAGTTATATGGACTGAGAGGGCTATATTCAAGAAATATACATGTACATTCATATACATACATGTATATTATAACAATAAATGAAAAACAGATGCCATAGATTTGAAAGAGAGAAAGGAAGGGTATATAGGAAGGTTTGGAAGGAGAAAATGATATAATTATAAACCTAAAAGACAAAACAATGAAAAACATTAAGGTATCTTTCCTCTTTTTAAATCCTGTCTTTTAAAATATAGCTTGTCTTGCTTGAGCCTATTTTTAACATGAAACTTCAAAGTTAGTAATTATTTATTATTCTTGTTAAAAAGCAAAAGACACTGAGTTTGTCTTTAGTTGGCAATGGAGAGCAACTCGATGTTCTTTGTCCTGCACACAAAACAGGCTGAGAACCTGCCATACCTTGAGTATGCTATAAGGAAAACTTCAGGGGTAAAATATCTTTGTAAAAATACCTTTTTTAACGGAACTAATGCCTGGGACCGCCATTGAGCCTTCCCTCCTGGTGGGAGCTTATGAACCCCAGTTTCCTGGTCTTCTTCTCAACCCACAGGACCAGTTAAACTGGGTCCCATATCCAGGGCTGCATTCCAATGCCTGGAGACTGCCACTGAGCCTCCCCTCCCAGCGGGAGCCTAGGAACCCCAGATTCCTGGTCTTCTCCACAAATGGGACCAGGACTAGGACCAGGAAGAGGAGAACTGCCAGAGTATTGGAATTGCTTGTACCCACCGAAAGGAAACTCTTGTCCCCTAACCACGAGGCCAGGAAGAGGCTCTTTATGCACCCATTAGAAGAAGGGATGAGGAAGGAGACAATACAAAAACACACTCAGCAGCAGAAAAACAAAAATCACACTGCCAGATTCTAGAGACTATACACAAGCAAGACTCCAACATTCCAATGCAAAT